TTCAAACCAAAAAGGATTCCATGACCCTCTTATTATACAAATCATACGTCCATTATTTCCCTTTCAACTTTCACTAAAAAAGTGAGTTTTTTTTTTATATATATATAATTTTTTCTATCAACCCTTTCTAATGTCTCCTAACCACTGCTTTTGTAGATTAAACCAAATAGTGAGACAAAGTAGGAATAGTTTAAACTAGACTAAAGTTGTTTTGTTCCTAATTTCTCCTCTCTTTTTTTTTTTTTTTTTTGGGATTTTTTTTTTTTTTTTGTCTAAAAACACTTAATAGTTATTAAATAAATCTTAATTAGTTGAATTTTTAGAATTTTTCTGACAAATTAGAAACTACTTTGATACAAATAAATATGAAAAATATTTAAAATTAGTTCTATCCTTAAAAAAGAGAAAACTATATAATAATAATAATTTGTTTTTACAAAACTGGTTTTGAATTTTTTTTCCAAAAACAAACTATGAAAACCAACCAAATAGAACCCCTCTAGCCATAGTTTAACAAATATAAATATGAAAAATGCTTTGGAACTCTAATGTACTGGCAATGGCTCCCATCTATTGTGATATGATGTTTTAGTCTTGATTTTTTTTTCTTCTTGTTATGTCAGTAATGCTCCATTAAAATATCAAAATTAATATTCTGAACCATTGTTATATAAATATTTTGAGATAAAAAAACAATCAGATTTAAAACACAGAATATTTTGTGCCCTTAAAATAAACTAATCTAAGTAGAACAGGCGAGGTTGTAACTTTAGCATTATTTTGATATACAAATAATAATTGTATATTCTCCACTAGATGACACTGATTCATAATTAACAAAAATCCACTCCCTCTCCATCCATGTGGGGATGAGTCAGCAAAACCGCCAGGCGACAAGTGGCATCACCAACACAACCTACACAGTCAGCACCTAAAGAGATAGAAAGAGTTAGGTGTTGATTGGAGAGAGAAAGAGAGTTGTGGATATTATCCATTCAACTCAGCCTCCGTTTGAGGAGTGGATTGGCTTTTTGGCTTTTTGATTTTTTTGACTATTTTAGCCTGGGCTAAAAAGTTTGGTTTGGGAAGGGTTTTTTGGCTTTTTGGCTTTTTTGACTTTTTTTGTGAGAGAAGAATGTAATGATTATGGGTTGGATGTGATGTTTTGTTTGTTATGGTTAAAATAGCCTATTTTGTTTTTTGTAGCTAAAATAGTCAAAAAAGACTGAAAAAGCCCTTGCCAAACGGAGGTTCAGTTTTGTTAGTTTGGTGTTAATACTTTATAGTTCTTTATATTTTGTTTGATTCAGGGTATTAATTTGTTCGGTTAGGAGGTTTCAGTTGTTTGATCAAAGAGAGAAACATAACTGATGAAGACATTGCAGAAGATTATATATATACACATATACTAACTTTGTATATAATCACAAAAAAAAGTACCAAGTGATAATATTTATGATTAATTACACTGACCCCTCTAAATTATTAATGAATATTATTTTAGTTTTTTATTTATGAATCTGTACATATTAAATTCTTAATTATGAAAATTATATTTAGAGACGGTCTGAGGCTAGTGAAAGTGGTATATTTTTATAATAATAATGCTACATTTTTTGAATTTATTATCCGATCATGCTACGTAGCTCGAATGTCGCGGCTCGAAACGCGGCTCGACACCAAAACGACGTCGTTTTGGTGTCAATTTTGTTTTTGTTTTTTTTTTTCTTTTCTTTCTTCCCTGGTTTTGTAGAACGAAGAAGAAGAAGAAGAAGGGAGAAGAAGAGAAGGGAGGAGGAGGAGGAGGAGTAGGAGAGAGGGGAGGGGGCCATAAAAATCGGTTTGAGGAAGAGGGGAGGCTGGGCAGACGACGGTGGTGCTGTGACATCGGCGGGGCTGCGACGGAGGAGGAAGCAGAGGCGGCGGCGGGAGCTACGACGACAGCGGGAGCTGCGACGACGGCGGGGCGGGGAGCTGCGACGCCGACCTTCTTCCTCTCCCTCCCTTCTCTTTCTCCTCTCCCTCTCTTTCTCTCCCTCTCCCTCTCTTCCTCTCGAGCCATTTTCGAGCCTGGTAGCTTCGAGCTACCAGGCATTTTCCTTTATTATACCTAAATTACCC